AGGGTAGTTAGGATAAGGGAGAGGGCATCTGAGTTGCTCTGGGATCGAGCTGTTTCTAGCCATGTATGTCTAACTAACCCACCTTTACCCCGTGCTTTTAATTCCCCTAATGAAAACACTGTCAGCCAATTAAGTAGCTGGCTGACTAACCCGCTCCTATTTACTTAAAGTTCACAAAACTCAGCCAGCTGGAAAAAAAAAAATAAAATATATCCATATTGAGCTACGACCCTGTTATAAAATAAACGCCTAGTTTGGAAAGTAAACACGTAGTTTCTCTTGCTCTTTGTTTTTTAATAAATGTCACAGCACAGCAGCGCTCTGTTCAGCGGATGGGATTTCGCAACGAAAAAAATACTCAGGATTGGCTAAAATTGTACCTATTTACTTGAAAAGGAGCCATGCCAGATGGTTGTGAGGTTTAGGTCAGGCTGTGTCTCCCCAGCTGGGAGAGCGGCTGTGCTCACCGGTGGCTGCTTCCCGTGGGCTCACAACCCACCGCACCAGCCCCAGGCGCCTTCCCTGTGCTGTTTGCACAATTAAATTACTTATTTGCTGTGATTTTAAAAGGAAAGGGCCTGGCAAATTTCTCAGCTCGGGTACCCGGGGAACCCTGCGTCACTAAACAAATAATGAACCTGGCTTAGCCAAATGCAAAGGGAAAAAATCCCAATAAATCCACCAAAATAAGAAAGATCTGCTCCTCTGCTGGCTTCCCGAGAAAAGGTCTCACCTCTTTGGAAAGATTTTATCTGCTGACTAATGCCCCATGAAATCCAGCTCAGGATGTGACCGTGGCTCCGTGTGACGTGGTGCCTTCTGCAGAAAGCAAGCCCAGGGCTGCCATCGACTCCCTTTGATTCAGGTCTGCAAGGCCAGTCTTCAAAAATTTGGGATTTAAACAACAAGGCAGCAAGGAAGGGAAATGCCAGGTTGGTTTGTCTGTGTGTGAGGTGTCACATTTGAGCGCCTGTATCTCACCTTGTCCCAGTTGTAGGGCGAGGCACAACCCCTAATCAGGGTGGAAAACCAGCAAGTGAATAAAAGCAACCCAGGGTTTATTATGGACAAGAAACACCCCTGATCTGTGAGCGGCTGGGCTGGCAAAACCAAAAATAAAAAAAAACAATTGCACAAGCTCAACATCCCCTACCCCCCACCCCCCCACCCCCGACCCTCCTCTGCCCAGGCAGCCCCATCCCTCCTGCCAACGCCTGTGCAAGCTCCAAACCACGCACACAAATACACATTTCCAGAATGACCCAGTGCCATCGTTTCACCAGAAACTCCAAATCAATCACTTTCCAACGACGTGGTTACCTTCATGGTGCACGACCAGAGCTACCCACCGCTGGGAACTGTAAAGGCACGTGACTGCTGCTCTGCAAACCGACTTCGGAAATTAACCCCCTTCCTACAACCTCACAAGGTTTTCTTCTTCTGTCACCCAAAGGGTTTCTTTATTTCCTGGCGTTTCTTGTCTTGAACTTGTTCTCCCACTTACACATCCCAGCAAACGCGCCCTCCCTCTCGGATGGAGATGGAGTTGGACCAGGCTGGCTTCCCAGCAGGACGGCCGCCAGCCAGGGACCTGCCTCCCTCTGCTGATGGGAAAGGACACTACAGAGCCAGGGACACGCCAAAACCGCCTCCATGAGATCCTGCAGCTGGAAAAGCACAAGAGATTCAGCTCCGCTCTTCTTGCCCCAGCACGGGCAGCTTCCCCCAGAGCCAGAATTTAGACATCAGATTTGAGAAGATGAGGGCAAACGCAAAAAAAAAAAAAAAAATAAAGCATCTTTGCTCAAAAGCAAAGACCATCCTCACACGGTGAGACTTCAACAGCCAGGGGTAGGCCCTCAGTATTTTTAAAACTAGGTTTTATTTTTATTAAACATAAAGTCTTTCTGGAACACAGCAGTAGAATCGACCCTGCCCCGCTCGGGGCAGCACAGGCTGAGAAGCGATTTATCCTCGGGGGGCGGCTGGACCCCCGCAGCGCTGTCCACAGGCACCTTCACATTTGACAGAAGCCACGGGAGCTGGGCGCTGTGGGGGGCGTCGCGGGGCTGTCCCACCCCAGCCAGCTCCCTGACCCCTCCCGGCCAGGCTCACCCCAGCCGGCCCCCTCCAAGAGCCGAGCTCACGGGCACTCCCCGCAGTCCGAGATAATCACCTTCTGCTTCGGTTTCCCGTCTTTGGTGCCTTGAGCCTTTGAGAAA